ATTATTGTTACAGGCGCCAAACATTTTAATAGTGAGTTCGGTGTTGTGTTGTGCAATGTTATGTAGAACTAGTTTTTATTATATTTTGTGCAGGTAAGAATGTTGATCACATTTAATATATTCATTAAAATAAAAAATAGCCTTAAAATGTAATTATATATCAACTTTGTTTAATAACTGGAAACTTTATACCTAGGAATAGGTATTAATAACTAATAACTAACCATTAATAACTTATTTAGGTTAGTAATAATTAGTAACAAATATTTTTCATTTATATCGATTCGAAAAAAACTATATTTAAATAAAGATAACAACTACTTAGGAAGTTACGTACACTTTTTTATAAACTAAAAAAAAATACAATCGGTATTATAAAATAAAATATTATGACAGTTAATTTTTCTCAAATATTTTTCGTTGAAATACTATTAATTTATTTACTTTTATCGTGTTTCAATTACATTAAAAGTACCATTAAAAGTATTGAGTTTTCCTTCGAAGTAAAAAGAATTCGTGAGTTGTCCCGATTGCATTGCTAGGATACGGATTATCAATGACAAAATATGCGAAACGGTATTGCGTGTGGTTCTAACGTGAATCACTTGTCGCCATTACATTTTAGGGCAAATATTAATATGATGATTTTATTACAAAATGTCTTATATCGACAGATGATGGTGGAGTAAGAGAACTTATTTCCCCTTCACATCTGTTTGGTCACAAAAAAGTAGAATAAATATAACTTTATCTGAAATATTTTAAAAATAACGTAAATTCTTCTTAAATATTAATATAACTAGGTATGTCCCGTTCCAAAAACAATATATTCACCCAGGATGGGTGTTATCTGGATTTTTTTAATAGAATAAGGGTGACAAACGAGCACACAGTCCACCTGATGGTAAATGGTTGCTGCGGCCCATAGACATCTACATCTATCATCTATTACAAACCAAAATGCAGATGCGTTGTCACCCGTGAGGACTAAGATGGTTTGCCTCATTTCCAGTAAAAAGGGTCTCCGGTTCTCTACACTCACCATACGAAACACAGTAGTGTTAAGCTGCTAATTTACGCTGGTATTCTGTGAGAGCGTGGTCCTTCCCCGGTCGAGCCGACCCATTAGTGCTACAACTATACTACTAATATAGCTACAGCATGGCTCTACCACGTGTAAATTACTATACAAATAAAAATTATTGAATTTTATTACATACTAGCAACCCGCCCCGATTTTGCCTCGGGAAGATCTAATGTAGTTATTCAGATTTCATAGTAGCGAACCGCCCCGGTTACACCTGGATAGAATCCATTAATATGGCGTTATTTAGATGTAAGATATTCAAAGGCCAAAGTCAAAGACAGTCAGTTCAGCCATTCCGAAGATAATCCGACAGACAGACAGTCAAAAATGTTCAAAATGGTTATAATTATGTCTTAATACTATGCAAATAACCTCCTGAGCTCAAAAGGAGCCAGTTAATTCGATATTACAGACAGACACTTCAATTTTATTTAAATGTGTAGATTACTATAGATATTATAGTTATGCCTAATTATATTTATTCATGTTTCAAGTAACTATGTAGCGGCGGTGTAAGAATACCCACTACCCCATATCATAATTTTATTTAAATAAACTGTACATATTTGAATTAATTGTACAGTTTATTGAAATAAAATTATTATTATTATCCCGTGGGTGTCGTAAAAGGCGACAGAGGGAAGAAATCAGGCGGTGGGCAGCAGCGTCTTCCTAATAACGTCTAACAATAAAAAACTGCGGTTGCCAACCCGTTTGCCAAGCGTGGCTACTATGGAAAATATCCCCCCTATGAGGCAATCTATGGGGGAGGCCTATGTTCAGTAGCTTTAGTTGGCTGTAACGGTATGTTTCAAATACTTCTTTCTTTAACAGCCCGTAAAAGTCCACTTGAACATGGGCGTCTCCCCTTGTCTTTAAATATTGGCTGCCTCATAAGCGTGAAGAATTAAGGAAGGATTTGCCTTAATGGTCACGCTTGTCGGACAGATTAACATTACTCATGTGATCAGATGATTCACAACATTGACCTTTGATACTGCTGGCAGCAATAGTAGCCGTTCTGGGTATTTAACGTCTGGCGTAAACGAGGTGGTTATACCGCCATCTATCGCAAGCCGTAACGCTTTTGTAGTTTTCCTATAGTCGCCTCACACAACACCTACGAATCGAAATTGTCTGATGGTTTTCTTAGGACGCCTCTACACGGCTTATTTTAAAAAGGTATTTAGCTTACCCAAAACTGATTGTTACTCAATCATAGTGTGCGATTGTATGACTCTGGTGATTCACACCAGGTTCATTTCCAGATTAGTTTCATCGTATTGTGTAATTAGCTGTTCCTCGCGACTTCGCCCGCGTGTTATTTTGGGTTTTAATTGTTTTGCGCGGAACCCTAATTCTTTTTCTAAAATAAAAGTAGCCTAAGTTACTCCTTGTGACATCAGCTGTCTGCCAGTGAAAATCCCGTCAAAATCGGTCCAGCCGTTTCGGAGATTAGCCGGAACAAACAGACAGACAGACGGGCAGACAGACAGACAGACAAAAACTTTAAAAATTGTATTTTTGTTTTAAGTACCGTATATACTTTCATATACATTTAGCAAAAAGCTGTAATTTTGAAATTACAAACAGACTGACAGAGATTTTATTTATTTGTATAGATTATATTATATTTGGATCGGAACTAAAGTGGGTTTATCAATTTAAATATCTAGGTCATATTCTTGCCGACGACCTTAAGGATGATCTAGACATAGAGAGGGAGCGTAGGGCTTTGGCGGTGCGCGGCAATATGCTGGCTCGTAGATTTGCCCGCTGTTGGGACCAGGTCAAAATAACATTATTTAAAGCGTATTGCCAGGGTCTCTACAAGGGTGGTCTGTGGATTAGGTATGCCAAAAAATCGTTAAACACCCTGCAAGTCCAGTACAATAACGTTTTCAGGATGATGTTGGCACTCCCCCGCTTCTGTAGTGCTTCTGGCATGTTTGCGCAGACCAGAACTGATGGTTTTCATGCCGTAGTTCGGAAAAAAGTAGCGTCGCTGATAGGAAGGATACAGAGAAGTGACAACAGCATCCTGAGAACGGTGGCAGATGATCCGCATGCGCCTATTGTGAGGCACTTCGTGCGAACGATGACTCATACAGTGGATGGTAATTCTTCTAGGTGTCGACCGCACGGAGTGCCTCTCAGGTACATGACAAATTAGAATTTAATTTAATCTAATTTTATTTTGATTTGTATTGATTTAATTTGAATTAATATGATTTTAGTTTGATGTAATTTAATTCTAATATAATATAATATAATATAATGTGATATAATATAATATAATCTTTTATAAGTACTAACACTTAGTTTTTAAGCGATAATGTAATACTAACCCATGGATCTTTGTTGTCTGAAAATAAATGAATTTGAATTTGAATATCAGTATCAACTTCTTTTTTTAGTAGAATAAGGGTGACAATCGAGCCCACATTCCACCTGATGATAGATGGATGCTGTTGACGCCTGAGGCATTCTATTAGCAACCATGCGCCTCAGATCGTAATAGTTTTTAATTATAACATTCTATGTATGTAATGCTATTCATTGTAATACTTTTGTCACTACTCACTGCATTATAAAGGCCTTTACCAAATCAGTCTCCTTCTCAGTTTGGGATAATTCCCCACAGATGCTGTGGCCATCATCCTAGATCTATCCTCAATTAAGATAATGCCTCGTTACTAGTAAAAAGGGTCTTCTGTTCTTTGCGCTCACCATACGAAACACAGCAACATTTAACTGCTATTCATGCTGATATTCTGTGAGAACATGGTGCTTTCCCGGTCCCATTCGCGCTTCGACAATATAGCCGCAGCATCATTATACAATGAACTGATGAAGACATACACACTTGTTAAGCACACACTAAAGTTATACAATCGTACTATTTTTGTTGATGGCTCCTGATCATTGCGCCTGTTCGATTTTGACCTACAGTTGCATCTCATATAGAGAGATGTCACAACTGTTCGCATAATTCAAAAGGAAGCTACTTTTGCTTATTTTGCAGATGTAGGTAATATTCATGCAATAAAATATCAGAGGTGTATGATTAGGTTTAAATAAGAGAGGCCAACATTTTTTACTGCACAAAATACCTATCTAATTGTCAATTTAATTATCAATGTTTTTACTGCAGAAAATAGCTATCTCATTGGGCTAATCTTTGAACAGTGTCTTTAGTTTTATTGCGTGTGTATTTTATGTAGGTAACGATTTTTTTATTTATTACATTTCAGTTATACTGTACATATTTTGCATTAAAATAAAAATAAAAGGATTTATAACATCGCTTAAAGATCTCTATGTTATTTTATGAGACCTTAGATAAAATGTAATTTTAATTATTTGTATTCCAATAAGACATAATTACTATTAAATTTATAATAAGTACAAAGGATAAAGCAGAGTTTATTCACCCCAATGCCGTAATTATATTTGTAAATACTACCTACAGTGTGGTTGGTAATAATTAGATGCCTAGGTAGATAGCCATTCTCTACCACGCTACGGAAGCCTATGCCGCTTGTTTGTGGTGTTACACGGTGCATTTCTATTGTTGTTTAACAAAAAGTGCAGTCTATTTCTTTTTCTTTAAAGTTTTGCAAGTTTCTCGCCTTTCCCGTGTTCATCAGATAATAATTATTGCTGATAGCATGTAGTATGGCCTACTATATAACATAGTATAAAAAAGCGAACACATCTAGCCTTTAATTTATATAAAATAATATGTGTACGGAATTACATTTTTCAAATTACTTTGAGGTAAAACATAAGATAAAAGTGAAAAAGAAAGTGAAATTTCAGGTCAACTATCTACTAGTTTTATTAATTATAACGAATTTATAATTTGATTTTATAATATGATTACAACGTTTTTATAATTTGATTGTTTTAGTTGCCTGCAAGGGAAGGATTGACAACGCCGAGGAGCGCTCGAGCTTCCATAGGCCGGAGACCTAGTACGCTTCCACATCAGCGTTTAAAAAAGGAGGTAATTATATTCATATGAGTAATAAGACTGAAAATATCGACTCATAAAATCTGGTATTTACGTTATCCATTAAATTCACAGAGCTTTTTTCATTGGCTTTAAATACACACTATTAACTGAGGCATGCTAGGTATACTATGATAAAAAATAGTCATAAAAGTTGGAGCTCATCACTGAATTGCAAACAATAGCAGATCAGCCCCCATAAGCAGACCTTTTCACAAGAATGATGAATTTGGCAGCCATCGCCCTCCTCGATCGAGTCTGGTACTGCGAACGTCTCTCCGCTTGCCAAACGCGACTGTTATGGTAGATTCTCCCTACATCTGGAGAGACCTATGTTCAGCTATTGAAGTTTGCGACTGCTGATGAAAAATTAAAAATCAATGTAACATCTCAATATTTTCTTGCTAGAAGTCTCCCGATAGTCCACCGGAAATGGATTCACCGGGGAGTGGAAGTAGTGACTTACGGCGGCAAAATGAAGAGCTTCGTGCACGTCTGGCGGGGGAGTCTGCAGATCACAAGCGCAGGCTTGATGCTTACCGTCGAGCTCAGCAAGGACAAGCTGCCTTAGTGTCACGACTTCAAGCAAAGGTACATATATAATATGAATAACATATCTACGTAAATAAATATATCAAAATATTTACCTTTTCAGAGCATACAAATTTAAAAACCTTTGAAATAATGCTTGCCCCGTGAAATTATATAAATCATTGGGCAAAATGGCGACAATATATTATCTAAAAAAAAGTATCATAAATAAACTGCTAAATTTTGTCCTCCAAATCTAGCTTTACAGAAACTAAGAAAATAGTTGATATTGATTTCTATTTTAATCGAAAGATGAATTTTTCATTGCTTGTTGATAAATCTTAATTATTAATAATAGTCTTATTAATTAAAACACAATATTATCAAAATATTTATTGTGATATTGTGCATCAAATATCTGCGCATATATATTAGCAGTAAAAATGATGAAGCATGATACGATCGTGATAAAAAATGTCTAATACTATATACTACATTTTAGATGCTTTAATGATAAACTATTGTCAGAATATTTTAGAAGCCAGCAGTGTAAGTGTAACGTTACATATTGTAAGAATTTCAATAACTAATTATAAAAAGGATAATTTCAATCAATTGACATGAAAAAGTAAAAGGGACAAACAACAAAATGTTTGGTATTAAAACACAGTAAAAAAAACTATACTGCTATCCAGTGCTATATGCTATTAAGTACATATCTCGGAATCACGGTTTCACTTAATACCGGTACCGGGTATAGCTTGGGAATGGCCTATGGCATAGTAAAGATTATTAATAGCCTAAGGGCAGCGATTTTGCTAGGTATGGCAAAGCTTAGAGTAATAGCATATCTAAATAGGCTAATAGTGTTCTGTGTAAGGAAAGATCAAAGAGTATTGCTCGCGCCAAACGCTGTTGTCAGAATCGACGTCAGAGGGCGCGCGGCTCGGTGCCATACCGGTTTGACAGTTGGATGTGTCGAGCGCGCGCGAGTGCAAGTAGTCGTCTGCCAGCTGTGCTGGGGACAGCGCGCTGTCATTTTTTTGTCGGGAGCTCGGAATAACTAGGCGCGGCCAGTAAATATACGGTCTAGGATTTGTGACCCGCATTCCTTGCTGTAGAGCTTCCCCGGGACTCGTTGGGTTTGGGTCGGAATCTGTATAGGTGCATTCGGCAATATTGTCTAGTGCGGCCTTTGGTATTCTAGAAATAACTGTTGCTGCGCGAAGCGGTGGTGACCTTTGATCCGGACACTCCCTGTTAGTTTTGTGTGTTAAGCTTTATAACAAACGAGAGTTGGTGGCTTCTGTAAGTTAGTTAATAGTACGATAGAGTTAATGGACTGTCATCGTGACGAACGAGGAAAGTGACTGTGGACAACGCCGCGGAAGGTTCCCTCAATTTGGAGCGGTGTCGCGCCCGGGCTGCTGCCGACGGCCAAGTTCTACTAGGGTCAATCACCATCAGTCACACCCAGATACACATCACATCACCTTATTTCCCTTGTACTACACAACCACATGCGACCTGACCGACTCCGGAGGGACCAGTCGCCTTGGATATAGGTAAGTAAGCTCCGTCTAATATTCTCCCGGTCGAATGGCCGTAGTATAGAACGCTCCCCCATATAGTGTAGTGTAATTAGAGATTTTCCACTTTGGCCTTAGGAGGCCCGATCTACGTCTGCTCGTCGAAACTCAGCTGAATGGGCCCCTGAGGATTTGACCTTTAAGGGAGTAGCCGTAGGCCGTAACAAGTATAATAACTGTCCTAAAGAGTTTGGTAATTCTATACAGAAGAAACTACCCTACATTACATACCTATTGGTATGATAATCTGTCCAAGATACACTCTTCACCTCTTACCCTATATAGGAACTTCTGTGGGATGCGCAGTATCCTCTTAATAGTTTGTGTCTTTGGAGCATGCGATATTAATGCGTGCGTGAAATTTATTACGATTGGATTTAATAGGTTTTTTTTTTGCGCGTAATCCTAATTATTTTTCTAAAATAAAGGTAGCCTTATAACATCGGCTATCTGCTAGTGAAAGTCCCGTCAAAATTGGTCCAGCCACTTCGGAGATTAGCAGGAATACACAGACAGATAGTCGTCTATCTCTCAGACAGACAAAAATTTTAAAAATTGTTTTTTTTTGTTATAATTACCGTATATACTTTCTTAATATGCATTTAGTAAAAATTTGTTATTTTGACATTACAAACAGACACTTCAATTTTATTTATTTGTATAGATGTAAAATGTGAAATGTCTCTTAAATCTGTGCGTGAAGCGAACGAAGCGTAGAGGGCAAAGAGCACTCAGAATAATATCTAAAGCAAAAGAGTAGAATAACAATTGTTTAAAGAGAAAGGGGAAAGCTGTTATTGTTATGTGTAAAAAGTAGTGATTAAACTCTGGATCCTTTTAATCGTTTGAATCTATACATTTTTTCTCAAGATAAGCTGTTTGTTTGCATAGGCGCCTTTATATACCATCGCCAACTGTCAGCTGCCTGCTGGCTCAAGTTGCGGTCAAAATCTCCCAAGGGCTGCACAATGTGACGCATCAACATATTGTGAAGCAGTGAACTATGAAGGATAATTATACATAAAGACAAGGCTGTATAACATAGTTCCTTTGCCTGCTCTCTCGAGCGAGTAATAAAAACAACAACAATAAAATAGGGACGGGCCGACCATAGACTTAGAATACACTGGCGTATAAGTCTATGGTATGGACATACAAGAAACATCGATTATTTTAAATGTAATATATCTATATTGTAATATAGTGTTGCATCGTTGTTTGGAAATATCATCGATTGTTTTTTGACACTTATTAAAGTGGACTATTTTTCAAGACTTTTATATAGAATAAGGGTAGAGCACAGTCCAACGCATGGTAAGTGCATGCTGTCGCTTATAGATATTGTTGCGCGCCACTATTAATGTCTTGTACATGGCAACACTAGTTACACTAGTGCCCTCTAGTGTCGAGTAAATGAAAGCATTGCGCGGCACTATTAATGTCTTGTACATGGCAACACTAGTTACACTAGCGCCCTCTAGTGTCGAGTAGCAGAACTAGTAGAGTCGAGATCCTTCCAGAAATTTCGGGACCGATATGTACTCGAACATTCTAGATGTCGCTACAGTAGAAGATTCTGGAAACTATCTGAGGCCCTATATAAGGCCGGTATAGACCACGACCGGGGCGGTATTGAATTGGCGATACAAGAGAATACTTCGAAGCGAAACAACTGCGAACTCAAGTGATCAGTAGTACAACTGTGTTTTATTATTAGTGTGAGTTTAAGTTGTAATTAGTGTTGTGTAATTAAAGTGTCAATTTTGGTAATTCACTCAGCAGTTTTTCATTATCTCGAACCTCAAGCTCGTAACAATTGGTGTCAGAAGTGGGATCAAATATGCCGATTTTACCTAAAGACGACACCGAGGGTATCCGTACCCGAAGTCAACGCCAACAGGAAACGGACCAGAAACGATTTGGTGGTGCAACGTCACAGCCGTCGGCAGGCCAGTTGCCGACCACGGAGGCCGGCCCGTCAGCAGCTCCTGCATCTGCAGCACCTGACTTAGGTACTCTGATGATGATGCTGCAGGAACAAGCTCGCCGACAGGAGGAACAGGCCCGCCGACAGGAGGAACAGGCTTGTCGGTTGGAAGAGCAGCTGCAGCGCGGACAGGAGGAACAAGCCCGCCAACAGGAGGAACAGGGCCGTCGGTTGGAAGAGCAGCTCAAACGCGATAAGGAAGAGCAGATACTTCTCATGAAGGACCTTCACGCTACCTTCGGGAAAGAAATAAGTGAGGTGAAGGATAAGGTTGCTCAATATGACAACCGCCTGTTGGAAGCTGAAACCCGAATCGACCAAGTGTACAATCGGGTTGACAATGTGATGGCTGACGTGAAGAAAACGCTGAACGACCTCAAAATTGGGGATCGAGTTACAGCTCCCGTGGTAGCTACAACACCTTCGCTACGTGGATTCAAAGTGCCACCGTTCGACGGGACTTCTTCCTGGTCGGCCTATAAAATCCAGTTCGAGGCTGTCATGAAAGCGAACGGCTGGAATAAAAGTCAGGCCATGAGTGCTCTCACCCTAGGCCTGCGCGACCAGGCATTAACTGTTCTGGAAGCTCTCGGTAAGGAAGTGACTTACGAGCAGCTCCTTGAGGCATTGGAGGCGAGATATGGTGACGCTCACCTGGAACACGTCTTTCGTGCGCAGCTCAAAGATCGCGTGCAACGCAGTAACGAAAACCTGCAGCAGTGGGCCCTTGAGGTGGAGAAGCTGGTTCGAAAAGCGTACCAGTCTGTACCTGCGCTTATTGTAGGGAACCTGGTGCAGACATTCATCGACGGCATCCGCGACCTTGAAGTCAGAGCTGCTGTGAGGCTCGGGCACCACGAGACGCTTAAGGACGCCTTGACCCATGCACTGGAGGTGGAAGCCGTGCGGCAGGATCATCGTTCCCACCGCGTCAGGGAGGTTGCAGCAGCTACAGTTCAGGACCGCAATAAAAGCTACAGCCCTAGGTGCTACAGCTGTGGAGAAAGGGGCCATCTTCGATCCAGCTGCCCTAAGCGAACTGTAGAAAGGGAAGGTGATCGATCTCGAGAGGGTAGTGCGGATAATAGCACCGCCTAGCAGCAGCAGGGAAACTGGCGGGTGCTGGCTGATGTTAAAAGAGCCCCAAGGATTTCGATCTCACAAACTCATGATGGGAACAGCCTAATCATCAAGGGCGAAGTCAACGGAATGCCATGTAAACTGACCATAGACACTGGAGCCTCTCGCACGGTTGTCAGTTCCCAACTTATAAGTCGGTTCCTTGGGGACTCCGCATACAACCGAGAACGCATTAATTTGGTGACAGCCACCGGTCAGCGCATACCCGTCCGTGGAGAGAAGAAGATGGAGTTGAAGCTAGGCAACATGATCTACCTGCATAATGTCATCGTGGCTGATATAATGGACGACTGCATCCTGGGCCTAGACTGTATGAGAAAGAATTGTTATGAGATCGACGTTAA